TCATCAGAGCGTGGCTGACCAACAGTCCACCCCAGCCAGCCATCAGCCTTATCAACGGACAGGGTCTTAGAGGGGATTGGAAAACAGGAAGGGCCTTCTACACAGGGGAATAGCTACTGGCACACTGTTAATGTGTGTGTGAGTGTGTGTGTTTGAATGTCCATCCGTGCGTGCAAGTGTAAGTTGGCACAGTTAGTTTACTCTAAAAGTGAGATGTACATGTCTTGCAGTAGTCCTTTTACTGGGATAAACTGCTCTTAGCTACAGAGCATTCATAGAAAAAATAACTTAATTCTTTCTGTTTAAGGCTTTACAAAGCTCTCATTTTCACAGCAAGTTAACCAGGTTTGTCCTCTGTGAAGAGAACGTTTTAGGCTTGCTGGGTTACTGCTACAGTGACTGAGAATGTTCACTGTAAATGGCATCCTTTCAGTGTCTGAATAGGCTTTTGTGCACCTCTTAAATAACCTTGCCTACCAAAGGTAACCACCAATGAAACAGCTCCCCACCTCTCTCCTGTTTTAACAGGTCTTAGTATGACCCACTAGTAAGCTTGCATGAATACAGACTTGTGTTTGGCTTACAGCCAGTGGTAGTTTGTCTGCAAATGGACTAAGTCCCGGGTGTCAAGGAGCAATGCTTAGAAATCTGTACTTGTGTGGATTATTTATAGCCATGCTGACATTTACACTGCTTTGGTTGGTAGAAAACTCAAGGCTTTGCTGTCCTTTTTGATTATGGCATTACCCGCGTTTTTCAGGATGGGGAAATGTCACGCCTTTTAATTCTTAATGTCCGCACCTGGTGATTTTCTCTAAATGTTGGTCTGCAAACCTTACAAACAACAAACAAACACAACAAACCATTTTATGTTGGCCTGGTATAGGCTTCACTTCTTAAAGGAGTAGTTACATTTTAGTGGCCTTACTCATTTTCAAGCACTAGCAGGCCAACGTGTATTTTCCTATTCAGACGTGTCACCAACATTTTATTGTCTCCTGTTTTGTAATATGAGACTTTTGAGCAACAATTGATAGATTCTTTATGTATACCCATACTAGAGATGAAGCAGGCTCTGGATACCATATGTTACCCCTACTGGTATCCCACAGGAGCTTCACACTAGCCTCATATGTGTCATATCTTCTGTCAGTCAAACGGTACCAGTATATTCCCCCATCAGCAGTTTGCATTATTCCCTGACTTACTTGGCAGATTTTTAAAGAGCCACCTGTTGTCAGTTCCATACTCATTCTTTCTTGGTGTTAAAATGCTTCCTGCCATCACATCACATCTGGTTAGAACCCTTTTTTTTTTTATCACATCACTGCACAAATCACTCTTGCTGCGTTTTCTTTTAAATGTGTCTGCACAAGTGAGTCAGTGTGTGCATGTGCCAGTGCTGGTTTCAGGCAGGCAGAAGTGAGGCCAGTCTTGTCCAAACAAACAGTTGAATCCAGCAGCTTCTGTCTGGATGGAGATGTGGAGATGATGTCATTGTTATTACTCTTTTTGCTTTTAGAAGCCATGCTGATTATTATCTCGGCAGCACCTAAACCGCTAAGATATCAACACTGGTTTGTTATCACCATTTAAAGTCTACGGTTACACTTCATTTCTAACAAATGGCTAGAGACAGAAATATTATATTTTGACTTTTATTCAGTAGGCTACTACCCGTATAATTAAATGAGTAGTTTGAGTATCCAAAGTGATATATGGGAAGATCGAAACCCCAAATTGTCATATTTGCAATCAGAGTTTTCTAATTCAAAATCAAACAAACAAGATATGATATCCCAATGTGTGAGCTTAGAGGCAATCGTAGGCAGATTTAGTTAATTTTGGACAGAGCAGGGCTAGCTTGTTGTTAGCGTTCTTTATGCTAAGCTAACTAAGCTAGTGGACTGCTGGCTTTGGCTTTATATTAAAGTGGACCTATCATGCTATATTTAAATGATATATTGTAGGGCCATACCTATATAAGGTATATTTATACGTTTCTGTTTTCAAAATACCAAACAGATCATGCATTTTAGCCATGCCTCATTTCGCTTTATGTGCTGTTTGCTGTCTACGGGGCTGATTCTGTGAGACCACGCCCCCCTGCAGGAGAGGGTAGCCGTGCTCTGATCAAGTCAAGAGGGGGAGAAAAAAAGATCTCCGTCCTCCGTGTTTTATTTATATATACAGTATATGGTTTTATTATATTATTATAGGCCTATAGAGTCGTTATTCATTTGTTTTAAAGCTCAATAAATAACACAGAAGACCTTTGACCGGCACTTTTCTAATTTTGTCCGGAAGATTAAAACTTTAACAGACATCTTGACCGGCGAAAGAAACTGAAACTGAAACTCTGCCGCACGGTCCCCTCGTTCCTTGGAAGAGGCGGAGAGGTGGGTGTTTGTCATCTGCTGGTGGACTAACCGGAGAGAATTACAGTGCTTGCCTCGACGGGGAGGGATTGCATTGAATTAAAGCAGCGGGAGCAAACGCTTGCCTCGGGGAGGGAGAAAAAAAGCCACAGCGGAGAATAAACAGAAGGGTAACCATGGTTACCATATGCGCGGGAAGTGTTCTTCGCTGCTTTTGTGGCAGACTACAGCGCCACTTACAGGCCTGGCATATGTACTACAGCGTCTCCAGCGCTTTCGAGCAGCAATGGCCGGCCGTGGCCCAACCCCACATTCCCCTGATAGGTGGAGAGTTGGCCCAATAGCCGTAGCGCCACTTCTGTGACGACATAGAAGTGTTCAAATCTGGATCAGTCTGTATCGGATCCGTTGCAGCCCCTTTTTTAGAGATTTGTGTATGGAGGAAAATAGAGAGGGTTGTGTTTTCTGACACTTGGTGAGTTCCCTGGAACACCGGGGACACATATTCATGTATAAAAGACGTACAAAAGTGCATTTTGCATGATAGGTCCCCTTTAAGCTAACAGACTTGAGTGATCAAATACAAGTAAGTGCATTTCCAAATTACATTTCTTAATATTTTCAGTTACAGATGTCAACATAGTTGCATTACAAAAACGTTGTTGCCACAGTAAGCACTTTTGCTCTCCCTTTGCCCTTTTTGGCCAACATCCTAGAACAGGGCAGTAGAGAAAGACAATCATTAATATGGACACATAATGACAACAGAGGAGGAGGAGATCTCAGCGCCTACACTTTTCCATTGAGTAACATTCAAAGAAGCAGAGTTGGTGGAGCTACTCTGTTTCTCTATAATTACCCAGAGAGCCCTGGGGCAAATCTATGTGGCTGACACAAATGCCTTCCCCCTGTCTTCTCTCTCTCTGCCTACACACAAACGCATGTACACTCAGTGTCCCAGCGTAGCGCCATGTGTCTGCAATATGGGAGGTCCTGAAGTTGTGGCCTCTGCGTCTCCCTACACTTGAGGAGAAATGGCCCTCTTAGCCGTCTCTCTGTCGACATTGTACTCCGCCTTCATTGCATCTCACTGTGTTCGCGGTGTAATATTTCGTAGCTGCTACATTGTACTGCCATGTGGTAAATGCTTATATGCTGCTCATGCTCTTTCTGCATATCATGTATTTATTTTGCTATGTATATAAATGTCATGTTCTTAAATGTTGTATGTGAGGGACTACGGATGGAAACTAGCTCAAAGCTAAAATCCGGCATGTTTACGTTTTTAAAGCATTATTTGTTTTAAATGTTCATCAATGTGCACTGTCCCTCGTCAAATGAACGATTAAATGAAAAATGAAAAATAATAATCATGCCTTCTGTAGTCTTGACATTCTCTCTAATCATTTAGACTTTGTTTTTTTTTGTTTTTTTTAAAGGAGTACATTTACAGTATTTCATTGCAACTGTAGTCGAAGCTTTAATACACTGAGCATCTCACAGAGATATGTGAGGCAAACATCTGAGGTTAATATCGTATAAAGCCTGTGAATCAATGTTTGCTCAGTCATTTGCTTTCCAAAGGTCAAACACTATCGCATGATTGTCTTGTTTCATACCCATGCTTGTATTGTACGCCTGCCAGAAACTCTTTTCCCAGAAAAAGTGGGTGTTAGAATGAGGAACCTGTGATCATGCAAAGTAGTCTTTAAAGAACTACAGAGCTAAACACTTTAAGGCAGGTTCTATTGCTGTCTTGCCAGTATGTACACTTCTGCATATAGGAAGTGGGACAGAGGAGCTTAAGGAGAACTCAATGGGGTTATCTGTGGGCTGTTTATCTATCCCAGAGTGCCTCCTGCTCAGGGAGTGAAAGCCTTCAAACTGCAGCCTGTTTGCTTCAGAAGGCTGTGTGAAAAGCGGAGGAGGGGTGTTTGGAACTGTGTGTCTCCAAGCTGAAGCCGGTAGGGGGGGTGTCTGATGAATGGGAGGACAGGTCTGCTGCTCTGCTCTCCACAGTCGGAGCTTCCCATCATGCATTGCATGCCCCGCACAGAACTCTTTATGGCCTTGGGTTTTGCGCCATATCTCTCACACACACTTGCCAACAGAAACAAGCTTTTTCTTGGGAATTCTCCACTATCAGTATTTTCCTACTTCTAAAGTTCCTCATAAAACAACGTGGTAAAATGTTCCTGACTTTTACAACATGTGAGAAAGTCTGATCATTTTCTCTAAAAACAGATCCTAAGCCTTAATTTGACAGTTCAAATAACCAGAGCTTGACTGCAGCAACGTTGCACAGGCCTACAGACAATATAAAAAGTTTCAACAAACTGTCAGATGAAGCTCTATGGGCGTAGCTAACATAAACCCCTCTTTAGTTTTAGCAGACAGTTGTTTGAACATCTTTGAACTCCACATATTGAAGTACTTTGAGTGTCTGGAAAAGTGCTACATTAAGTACGGGGATGGAAGGAATATTTGTTGTAATCTGTCTGAACTGGCACATATAAACACTAAGTAATTATAACCTAGTTTCATGCATCACTTCCCAATGTCTTCTGGGAATCGTCTGTTTATCCCTTCAGAAAGTCATCTCTCATCCCTTATGTCTTGCAGGATGTGAAGATATTCAGAGCGCTGATCCTGGGCGAGCTGGAAAGAGGACAGAACCAGTACCAGGCAGTGTGCTTCATCTCTCGCCTTAGCCGCAATGAGATCATCCCGAGCGAGTCAATGGCCCGTCTCAGACAGGTATTACGTCAGGGCATCAAGAAAAATGGATGTGTTTTATAATTAACATTTCCATTTCTGCTTTAAAAAGAGCAATTTAATGTCCGGAGTATCTGAAGATGTGGATATTTATAATGTTTTTTGCCTGTTCAGAAAAATCCTCATGCCATCAGATTGGCGGAAGAGCGGAGAGGACTGGAGCAGCTGACGATGAGCGCCGCGGTTAATTTAAGTCAGGCCTCTCAACTCAGCTCCCACATTCACAATATGTGCAGCGAGGCCCGGGAGGCCATTTACACCAGGGAGTCCGATGTCAAACACTGGCTGGACAAAGGTCAGTGTCCTCTTCAGTTTGTTTATCATTGAAAGTAGCAGAAGCAAAATGATTGTCTCTTTTCCTATCTCTCTCTGTCGCTCCTATACCCCCACAGCATATATCTCTTTAAATGACACTCTTTATCTCCCGGACACTCTCAATCAGGCAAACACCTCTTTCCACTTAATTTTAGTGACTGCAGTTGTTATCTCTGGCTTTTTTTTTGATAAGGCTCTATTACTGCTCATGCTATCTTTGTTTACCTTTGTCTGTGTCTCTTGACATTCCTGGTAATACCTCCCACTTTTAACTTTAAAAACAAATCTTTGAAACCTCTCAAAACAGTCCGATAAATAATATTTGACATGATTTGCATGACATATAAAGGAATTCTGATCTGATTGTACAATCCTCACACAACATTTCATTAACTATTTGTTTTAAAAGGCCCTTTAGCAGTGGGATCTTGTATCTTAATAGTGATGAAGTCCAAATTATCCAGGCTGAGGAGAATCCTTATGACAGCACTTTTGTCCACTGACAGCACTGTTACAGAGGAAACAATGTTGATGGTCATGGTTCAGTAAGCACTCTGCACCATTATCAGTGAAGGGAATCTCAGTAGCGTCTCCTTTGCATAACAAAGCTCCCCTTTTACTGCACCATCTCCCCTCCTTTGAGCCACTTTGTTTGCCCCCTTCAGTTCAATACAGCGTTTAATTGAGTGAAATCCGAAAGAGAAAGATTCACACAACTCTGTGATGGCTTGCTTTTGTTTTTAACACCATAGCTCTGATAATAAAGCCTCATGTGTCTGTGTTATAGGAGTGGATGGCTCCATATTCGAGGTCCTGCCTCAAACAACAGAGGCGCCCAGCTTTCAGGCCTGTCACTCTACTAAAGACTTGTGGCAGCCCTGTCTCTGCACATACAGCCTGCGTCTGGAGTGGTACCCATGTTTGCTGAAGTACTGCCGCAGTCGGGACACCACAGGCAAAGGCTCCACCTACAAGTGTGGCATCAAGAGCTGCAGCAAGGGCTACCATTTCACATACTATGTTCCCCAAAAACAGATGTGCCTATGGGACGAGGAGACCTAGCATTTTATTCTGGATCGTTAAGAAAAGATAAATACTTTTTTTCCCCTAGCCAAGCCAATGCTTCCCCACCCAGGCTATTCAAAGCAAACAGTAACACTGGACCTCGGTTTATGTGATGTTTAGTGAAACTGTCTCAGGTGGGGAGTGGTGGGATCCAGATGTTCAAGCTGAAATATAAATGAATTCAGGTTCAAAATGAGACCAAAACCATTACAGGAAGCAGAAATGCAACGTGTGTTTCTAAGAGAAACCACTAACCTTTGGCCTTTTTCTGGAAAAATGTACATATTTTTTGTCAACGATAATGTGACTTTGCCAATAAGCTGTCCCTTTTGTGCCTTTTTTTGGAGAAATTATTGGAGCAGAAGACAGATGCCAACAACAATAACCTCCCAGTATGCACAAAGCTGGACAGTGCATGCCAGGTCAGTCAAACACCAGCAGAGGAACAACAGAGTCCAACTCTGATCAAAGGAAGATACTGGATATAGATAATCTTCCACACTAGCTAAGGAAAGGTGTATGGTTTTGGACTAATCTATTTTATGAAGCTCTGTGAAAATAGCCAGCTAAACTAAAGCTGGCTGACAAAGGAAATGCTTCTTCAATGCTGGCTTTATTTATTTTAGTTGCAAAGTGAAATTATTGAGGACTATTTTTTATATATTTTTGCCTTAAGCAAGTGGTAAAAGTCACATGTCTAAACAAAAGGTTGTTAGAAACGATAACTATTTTAAACACATTGTAGAACCGTTTAACCTCTTGGATTTTGGATGTTGTTTCAAGTATGATCCTTATGTCATAATACTTGCACGTTTTCATGTATGTAAAAACAGGTTTATTATCTTCTTTATTGGAGACTGTTGTACTTCAGCTCTTCTCCATCAAGACCTGGGGGGCACTCACATTATAATGTCTTTAGCTCAAATAAACCAAAGTGAATGGATATACAAAAGAAGTAAAAGAAGAGTTTAAAGTTTCACTTTCGAGCAACATACTCTTCACTGTGGCGTTTTTTAAGGATTCGCTGAACCTGCAGTGTGGCCTTTTAAATCATCTATACTGCCACCTTCTGGTAAAACAGTATATTTCTCGTTGTTTCCCAATGCCAAATTGCTTTTCATGGTTTTCAGTTTTGTTCATGTCAACTGTTAAATGTCTATAATTTATGCAACTCAAGTCCCTGAGCACAACTCATGCCATTCAAGGAAAGCGTTTTAACTTGTGGGACCACATTTAATTGTATCTGTCTGTTCTCCAGAGCAAAAGGTTGGTACTATTTTGGGTTTTCTTACCTCCTCCTTCATTTCATTCTTTACCGCTATATGAAAAAAAAGTTTCTGTTCTGTGTGTTGGTATATCCTGCTAACTAATGAACCAAATGAGTGAAACATATGTGGCCTTAACTGGTTATCAAGTGCCTTAACATTTCCACTGATATCTTTGCTATGTAATTGTAGATTAAGTTTGTAAACATATTTTTTCTATGAAAGAGTTTTAAAACATGTTGTAAAAAAGTTGCCATAAGAAGAAAATTAAGCATTTAGGTAACGTGCCATTTGAGAGTTGAGTTTCAATAAAGTCTTACTTTGCACTGCTTATACAATTGCACGTGTTTTTATTTATTTGGGGACATTTTATGACTATTGGACAGTAAACAGTAGAGGGCTGATGGGAAATAATGCTGGATTTAAACTGGGAATGTTGTGACTACATAAAGGGCACCCTTACGCCCCTTTGGAAGTTAGATGTTAATGATAATTTGAAACGTTAATGTGCTGGTGTGGAAAAATATCTGTTTAATGACCCACTCACATGCACCAAGGTGTGGGACTGCATTGACACTTACTTGTTCACAATGGGATGACATATTGTCTGTACCAGTGTGCAGTCCCATATTACACATGTAAGAATATCACAAATATTAATAATTCATGTAGTTATAATGAGAGTTCATACATAATGTAGATCTTCCATTTTGTCGCCATTCTGATGAGAACAGGTGTAATGTTGGCTATACTATTGTCCGCAGGGGGTCGCCACTGCTCAAAACTGATCGCCCCACTTCCCATCGCTTTGGGAAGATATCCAGAACGATTGAAACATTTTTTATGTAAATATTAACCACGCCTGCCGTAATCTCTAAACTACGGGTTAGTATGGGATTATACAACCAAGGCTCAATTCTCTGTTATGCTACCAGTTGATACATTTGCATGCACAGTGAGTAATGAGGTGAAAGGGGAGTGAAGGGATGCTGAAGGAGGCTGTTGTTGCCACCGGCGGAGCTCATGTTAAAGACAACAAATAGCAGCCACTGTGTTGGCTAACAACCCTTTGACAGTCTCCTTCAGAAACATATCGCCACTCCACAGGACAAAAAACACGCAGGATGTAAACGAAGAGACGGCCACATGTGCTCCATCAAGGTAATGCTATTTCACTGCGTGTGTTAACGTCAAACAGTCCCATAGAAAACGCTTTGTTAGCCGTCGTTAGCTCGCTACTTTACTGGGTAGTTAGCCGGTGTGAGAGCATCATTTTACATCCAGAGATAAGCTCTAAAACCAGTATTTGCCTGTCCTAGTATTTCAACTGTGTATTATAACTTCATGTATAAGATTTGTTTATCACGAGTGTCCTTGCTAAAACGGCAGCATACCATACAAAACAGAAGTTACAAACGATATAAAAGAGATCGATATTGAATTACTAAATGATGGCTACAGTGTATATTGTTTATCTACAGTGGTGTTGGTGTAAAGTAACTAGGTAGAGTTACTGAAGTATTGTACTTTTTATTTATTTGTACAATTTGTAGCTACTTGTACTTCTACATAACTACAATTCCGAGGTAAGTTGTGTACTTTTAGTCCACTACATTTATTTAATACCTTTAGTTACTTTGCATATTTGGATTAATTATGTAAAATATAAACAACTCTTAAATAAGACTTTATTTAACCCTGGAGTAAATTCACAAGCTACCCTGCAGTATACAAAGTAATTAAAATTAGCTGCAACTTTACCAGCTTTGATTACACTTTAATGCATCAATATTTATTCTAAAAACATATGATATATAGTTCTGAAATGGACCAATCTGCATAGTGAGTGCTGTTCCTTTTGGTACTTTATGTTTACGCTAATAATTGTGTACAGTAACAGAGTATTCCTACACTCTGGTACTTCTACTTTTACTTAAAGATCTGAGTACTTTTTCCACCTCTGGGTGCAATACAATGCTAGAAAACCGGAGATAATGCTATTCAGCATCCTGGTGTTTTACTTAAATTGTATGTTTACCTCGTTTTTTTGTTTATGGATGTATTTTTGTCTTTATTTATGTCCAGACAATCTTTTATTTGTATTGCACTTATATTTTAGTTTTCATCTTTGTTTATGTGTGTTGTGTTGGGACAAGTGTGTTACCTGTAGATTGTTTAGGAGATAATCACATTGGGCTTTAATGGGCATTTTTCACAATTTTCTAACATTTTAAAATGTTTAATCAAGCAAATAATTTGACATTTGCTGAGACACAGCAGTGACACAACCCCTGCCAAACCAGTTCTCTCGCTCACTCCTCAATATTTAACTATTCCTAAACGAATCATTTACATTTCAAAATGAGTCAAAGCAAGCTCTGCTCCTAGCAGGGAGTGGTTGGCTCGAGGAAGCTATCCACCTGATCACCTGTTAAGATGGACTCCCGGGTGTCCTTACTGCTCTCTGACACTGCTCCAGCTTTGTCCTGTTAAAGAGATGTTTTATGAATATTTTGGGCAAACCCAATCAACTATCAGGGTCATACCACCACACAGCTGTAGGGAACACATGTTTAAAGCTCCAAGGCCATTTGCCTGCATCAGACAGGTTAGTGAGAGAAGATGACTGATGACTAGACCTAAAGGGCCATATTAAAAAATTCCATATTAGTTGCCAACCAATTTTGCATTGCTGCTTTGTAAAGAAAACGGAGAAATGGAGTTGTCCCACTGCATATAATAGTACAGCTTTGCCTCCCCATGCCTCACACCTATAGCAAACCTGTGTCACTTCAAGTCAGACAACAACAATACATTTTACTATTATTATTGCACATAATTGTTATAAAAACCAGAAAAACAGTCTTTCTCTCATGAGATTGTCTGAGGCCCATTACCCAGTAACCTCTTGTCTAATTAAAAAAAATACTAGTCTTTGAGATTCAAGTGTTGTTCCACCCCAGTTAGGGTGGGCCTGACTCTGTGAATGGGCTCACCTCCTAGTACAAACGTCACAGCAGAAGAAGAGACGTCCCCCTCACCCCACTGGACCCAATGCCATCCAACTGTGGTGCTATTATAGTTCAAGCAAAGGCTAATTGTTGGTCCTTGACAAAGGATTGCACAGTCCAAGTCTCTGGACGGTAATGCTGTCTCTTTCTACTGTAAGCGATATAACTGCACAAGATGTGCCTGTTTGCTTTTTTCTCTTTCTGATACAAAATTGGCTTGATGACGGCTGAGAGGCAGGTCTTTGGAGAAACTGCAAGTGGGTTTAGTGTTTTTAAACTTGTTTGTTTTTTCTGTAGTGGAGAAGATGTCACTGGTTGTGGTTGGTACGCTCCTGTGCCTGTCTTGTTGGGTCTCTCTCTACTTTATCTTGTGCAACGTCAACGGGTCCAGGAGCTACGAGTGGAACTGTCGCCTCGTCACCCTGGTACATGGCATCCTGGCAGTCTGCATCACAGGATACATAGGCTATGTCGATGGACCCTGGCCTTTCACTAATCCAGGTAGGACACCTACTACTTAGGATTCAAATTCAACCCTTTTGCTTGAAAAGGGACTAAATGACTTATTCAAATGGTTGCATATACAGTTATGTATTGATTGCCTAATTGTTTCATCTCTATAATGCTAAGCATGTTGTGGAAAATGGTTGTTTTTTTTAAACAGCTATTATCATGCAGACTTTTATTTAAACTACCAAAAGGAAAACACATTCAAAGTGGGAATAAACCATTCAGCAATGACCAAATAATTGTACCTCTCCTGTCTTTTTGGGGTATTTTACAAAGTATATTATCAAAAGTTTTGATGCTACATGTTGATATTGATAATGATGTGCTCCTGTCTCAGTTATTACTTCTGTATTCTATGACTGGTATTTAAAATACATGCTAACTAAAAACTATTTTTCTGATGCTAGGTACTAAGAACAGTCCTCTGCAAATAAGTGCCATGTTGGTGAGCCTCGGCTACTTTATTTTCGACATGGCCTGGTGTGTGTACTTCCGCACAGAGGGCCCCGTTATGTTGGCCCACCACACCATGAGCATCCTGGGAATCCTGTTGACCCTGTGGTTGGGGGAGTCTGGCATCGAAGCCTGCGCGGTGCTCTTTGGCAGTGAAATCACCAACCCCCTCCTGCAAGCACGCTGGTTCATCAAACAGACAGGACATTACGGGACACGGCTGGGGGACATTGTGGACGTCCTGTTCGTGCTGCTGTTTGTGGTGATGCGAGTGTTCGTGGGAGGCACAATGCTGTACTGTGAGCTGATCTCACCCAACCCAAGATTCTTTATCAAGTGTGGGGGAGTGGCTATGTACGCTCTGTCCTGGGTGTTCATGGTGGACATTGTTCGATTTTGCATAAAGAAGAGCAAGAGCTGGCAAAAACAGAGGAGAGATCAACAAGAAACAGTAGCAGCTAATGGTCACGAAGGGAAGAATGACTGATTGCCTTTCCAAAGTCAGTCTATGCTTTTTTCTACCATGGACGCCCAAGGGAAATTACAAAGAAAATCAACTTTTTGTATGTAAAACTGACATTTCAAAATGGATCATTCAAATCGAGAACCCTCCTTTGACATCTTTCTGTGAGGTCTAACATTTTCTGGACTTTTATCCAGCTAATTCAGCCGAACACTTATTTGATTGTTGTGTAAAATGTGCAGTTGAGAAACAACACAGATGTAGATTAAGACACTGAAAACTAAAGCACTTTCTGCAAACACATGAACAGATGTTGCTTTCAGTTGCAATGCACCGTGCCCTAGTAACATGTTGTGTAATTGCTTGCAAAGGAAAGCTCAATGTTAGGAAAGAGACAGTTTACATATTATGCCTTTCCTCTTTGTGAAATATTTTTCATAATTTCAATAGGTTTTTTGGCATATGGGAAACTGCGAGCAGATGTGAAAGGTGTACTCAGGGAGATCAAGAGTGGGATGGATTCCAGAGAAATGTATGTGATATGTTTGATTACTTAGTTTGATTCAGTTTATAGCAACAACTTTACCCTTTTCCTGCTTTCTAAAATCTTGGTTCAAGATCCTGCCCATAAAACATTCATTTAACTTTCCACTGATAAATCAAGAGACCCTTCTCATAAATAGAACTCTGCGTTGGTAATGCTATTGTTTTGCAGTCCATTTGGATATTTATGTTGACTTTGAATATGTGGAAATGTTTGGTCGTTATTTGAGAGGTGCGATTACAAAGGATACGTTGTCTGTTCTGATAGCTCTCAGTTAATTTCATTTAGTTGAGTCACATTTCAGTCTCACAGAGACAATTCAATTAAATGTATAGTTAGCTATCTGTACAGCGTGCAAAATCATATCGAGATGAATTACTCATATCAGGTTATTTTTTTGCAAAGTTCTGTTCCACTCACTCTTAACACATCAAAAAGTATTTATTTTACCTACTACCTGTTTAGAGAGTTATGAGTTTAAGTATTTAATGTTTATTTAATGTGATATGATGATTGCTATACTGTGATGGTAATTATCAGAAACATTTTCATCTCAATAGTGATTGTGATATTATATTGTCCAGAAAGAACACACAAGTGCATTATGGGATACGATTTATCTTACTCCATGACTGAATTTGCTCCATGCCGATAAAGCTACCAAACTACCAGGATTTATCTTTGAGCTTGGATCTGTTTTCTTATTATTATGACCATATTTGTATATTATTATCATCATTATTATCAGTGCACATGGATTTCTGCAGTAGTGTGCTAAAAGACTTGCCATTTATTTATTTTTTCTCTTTATGTGTTATTGAGATTTGCTGTTTTTGTGGCAGAATCATGTGAGCATCACCATTCTATCAAAGAAACTAAAAATCTAACTGGTGTGTGCCTTAGTTATCTATACTTTTCTAAATATGTGTTACTTTTTGTTCTATGCTGTACATTTAACCCTCCAAAATCTACATAGCAGTAATGAAGAACCATTTTGAGTTTGGGGTTAAATGATTTGCCTTTGTAATCCCTTTGTGAAGTCGGATATACAAATGTGACTGTTTGTATGCCTTGAAATAAAATGTAAACAAAAACATTTCAACTATAATTGAAGGACCAGCTGCATTTGTTCATGTATGCCACAGGTACTTAAATGTATTTTTGGACTGAGACTGCAGTTACCTGAACTGTCCACATGGTGGTGTCAGATCAATGGTATATGAAGAATGATGATCAGGAGACATGATGATCAGTCGTTCTGACATGCAGGAGAAAAGTGTCAAATACTACTTTGTCATCATTTTCTAGTTTACATTTTTTGCATAAATTCAACTGTTTTAAATCTCTGTGTATTAAATATATCAAGCCTAAAGCAAACAAAAATATGGTGTATGATACTGTATGTAATACACAGTAAAGTGCTTATTGTAAAATGATACGGTAAAGTGTCAGTTGCCAGAAACAATAATAATAAAAAAAGCATAGCAATGCAAAACAAATTGAATATATTTGTAGCCAGTGCACTAGCTCATATATGTATTTCAATGGGTCACACGAAACAAATAACAGATCAAGAGAAGGTAGAGAAGTAGCCTACAACTGCACATGTTTCACTCACAACAGCGGCTGTTTAAAGGTAAAGAGGATTTGGACAGTTTAATTGTGGTAGTGCAAATAATTTATTTGGAAAACCCACAATAACCACATATCCTTCATTATAACATTGACAACATGGTGTTCTTAAATGCACTTTTTCTCAGCTTGAGTAAAATAACAAAAATGCACATTTAAAGTAAGTTAAATAATTGTATGAATGCAAATTACATCAACTAATATTGATTGCAATGAATATGGATCTTGGTCTTGAAATGTTCTGCAGTAGTTTGCCAGTTGACAAGCTTTCTATCTGGATGAATGAAGACACTTTCATCAGAATAGCAGTGCCTTCTTGTTGATGATGGACAAAGGACTGGGCTGTAAGCTGTAAATAATGAACATAATGACTGTTCTCCCTGTCCCACAACAACCACATACAGACAGAGTCATGAAAACCTTGAAAAAATACAACAACACATATAATCATCAAGAGAATCAACCACGTATCTTCTTCTTTTTTGTTGCCATGGAAAAGCAAAAAACAAAAACAAAAAGACAACCAGGACTGTAACTTATTAGCTGATTTATTGTGTGTCTATCAACTTATCAATGTATTGACTAATAGAAATATTATCTATTTCCCTCTCCCTCAGAGAGATGCTGTGTGTTTTTTATATTTAACAAATGTACCAGTTTAATGGATAGCTGTATATATTTGGATTAAATTAAACTATTGTCCTTGCACAGAGTAACACGAAATGCAGTTTGCATCCAACCAGAAAGTGCAAAGAGTAGTAAAGTGCATGAGGTTACATTACATTTACATAAATAGTGTTGTAGTAATGTAAACACATAATTTATACATATGAATACATTTCTTTAGATAAGATGCATATTTTGGAGCATATACAATTAAGGTGCAGTGTTTAATACAAAAATACAGTTGTAATGAATATTACATACAGATGGCATAAATAGTCAGTAATTATTGGTCTATAAAATAATCAACATTACTCTCTAAAAAAACAACTTTGAGAATTATTCAATTGTTATTTTTTGCTAATTGTGTTTTTTGTCATCGACTTGGTGGTGCAGTTCCAAAGAAGGTCACATAGGCTACATTTTTCTTCCTTCTTCTTCTTCCCATAATCTAATATTCACTACTATACAAATCAAATAAAAATAAATGAATACTATAATACTATTACTACTACCAAGTGTAGTTATAACGGTATAAGTAGAAGTAGTGGCATCATAGTTAGTGTTGTGTTGAGTTGTGTTATGTTCGTGTTGTCTTTCAGCAGTCTTCCCCAACATCATGCTGAAACAAAATGAGTTTTCCCATCTCCCGGCGGAAGTGGTTAGTGAAGCGCTACTGGACTCCAACAGCTAGCTGGCTAGGGCGTTGCTAGCGGCAGAAAGTGGGATTTTTGGTACCTTTGCAAAAGTTATTATCTTTTACAAATAACCCCTTGCGTTGGAAAAAGCAGCGTTTGATGTTCGCTGAAAGTTTTAAACCGCCTCGGTGGGTTTTTGTCGTTGTTTACGAAGGACTGGTGCGACTTTAAGTCCCGTTAGCTGGCCACATAGCTAGCCTGCTTCCATCCACGGGAATTCTGCCGAGAAACGACTGAATTCTGGAAACATGGAGTCAAGGACCGCTGCGCTGTGCTAACCGACTTCACTGGACTTTCTTTGCTCAAGGAGACGTTTTTAAGGACACAATACAGAGACATATCGCAACCAGTAAATATTCATGCCGTGCTGTTTATATATATTTTTCGGTCGTTAGCCGGCTCATTGTTGTGAACGGGAGTTTGCTTAGTTTGCACTCGAAACAAGAGCGTACGAGGCAAAGTTTTTTTTGCTGAAAGAGCTCATCTGTTTTGTTAGCTGGTAGCAGCCAGCTTTCAGTGAGAAACAGTTTTCTTAAAAAGCCATCCTGTTTTTTGTTCTATATACCATCCTACACATTTTCTTTTTGAATCTTACGTTTAACACCGATGTAACATTAGCTGCTGTTGTTGCTAATTTGTAACACGGGTCGTTTTAAACTCGGTATTGAGCGATTCTCATGGTCACGGGAGAGTCTTCCCCACAGCCACAGACAGGCATTTCTTGGAGCAGGGAATACCAAATGGGACTGGAGGAATTTCCATCATCTTCAAAGATAATTTAGGAACCAATCTTCAGCCGAGCTGGGGTGGTGGCAGACGGACTACACCGCAGGGCCAAGGGGTCTGATATTTTGGAATACATATTGTTTACACATTTCGTATCGACGGAACACTGGGATGTGAATGCAAAGGATTCATACAAGGAGTTTATACATGCACCACAACTTGTGCCAACTGACGCAGTATATTCATTCTTGTGGCCAAAATATTGTTTTTAGCCGGGGAAGGATACCATCCGACTTCACAGCAAATACGACAGAGGCCCCGATTAATTTTTTAAGGGCTGCACTTTAATTCCTCGCTATTCAGTTTTTTGGCAACGGGCATTAGCTAACAAATAACGTTTAGGTAGTATTTGTGTTTTCTCAAGTGTTTGGACGTGCCTTGCAAACGGCCAACAGTGTCCTACAAGTAATCTATTATCAACACCATTCTGAAAACCCTTGCCTACTTCACACGAATGCAAGAGAAGGACGCTCCAGGAAATCGCCTCATCACACTCTGGAAAATGTTAATCGGATATAATTTGCTGCAAATCTAGAACCGGAAGCCCAATGAGTGACACACAGTCCAGCTTCACTGACAGGTACAGTCTACACACATCTTTATACTCTTTTAATGCCCTCTCTGCTCCCCACATGCACTCACTGCATCTTCACAGTAATATCACATGGCATTCTGTTACAGTTTATTGATTTGTTTTGATGATATTTATCTGTAACACAACTCTCAGTCTGATGAAAATATGTTTTTCATGGTCCCAAATAAAGCACTTCTTTGTGGTGCTGTGCTCTGTAATAACTATGTTATACAATCTAATTACTAAGGAAGGACATTAGATCTTGATGGAAACTCTGCTGAACTCAGCATTGGTAATGGAGTTTTCTGCAGACAGTAAAGTAGTACTTGTACAAGGATTGAGAAGGCCTGCCAATGTTTGTGTGCCCGAGAATAATCGTCTGTGATCCTGTACACCTTTAACATCCCTATTACTTCTAAGCCTTTAAAGCTTTTCCTACACCTATTAAAACAATCTATGGATTTACACAACAACCCAATCTACCCAGCTTATCACCCTGTCTAATAAGGCATCTGTCAATTTTCACTAAAATATTGGATATATTTTCACAAAGAACACACTAAATGATAGAAGGATCAGTCTATTCCATAATAACTCATGTTGATATAAATGGTCAATATTCTCTCAATGTATTTTTACAAGAAAATGTATTCCTCCATCTTGTTCTACCTGTAAGAATAACAAGGTTTCTATTCCACATTGGATGCACGGCACGCTGCAGTGTAACAGAGAAGTGAAGCTGTTGCTTTGCGTCCAGCCTTCCCACCTGAATCCCACATACCTGCAAGGAGAGCAGGCCAATACAGTGGAATGTGGTTGTAGATTTAGAGCAGAGGGAAGCTTTATTGCACAGGTTGGGATGTGAGATACCCTTCTGGCTAGGGCATGAGCTAGAGGCTAAAAGCCCAACCCCATTTTATATGACCCCCCTCCCCCACTGCCAGGATGGCAACAGTGGATGGCACCAAATGCTATTGTATTGCTGTTTATTGTGTTTTTTTTTCTTTTTATAATATGACCTTAATTCTGTGAATGGCAGTATTAACTAGAGTCTAGACAACTGGAGGAACTATCATGTCTCTGGGTGCTTTCATGAACAAATCAGTGCTTTCGAATCACACCAGTGTTGAAATGTAAACTCTGGGTGATTGCCATATAAATCACAGAGATCCTCCCGATAACATGAAGCATCTAGGGTTAGGTTGCTATGAGACAGTGTAGTATATCATACATCATATTTGGTAATTTCCGATTTGCTGCAGGCATGCTGCATGTGAAATCTTGAGGCTGTGTTACACACATTGGTAGTATAAGTATTTTCCCTTTAGTCAAAGTATGGGGGTTGATATCTTTGGAGGGATCATTGGTTGATATATTTGTTTTGTTTTCAAAAAACTGTCATAAAATCCACACTAGAATTGTGTGAAAACTCTGTTACTCTGCACAAAATATGTTTTGGACTGCAGCAGTTTCTGGAGGGTGCTTCCCACAGTGCTTAATAATGACTTTATTGATTTATGTTGTCTGTCTTTCCCTCTCTTCTTAAGTCCATCTATATTTCTCTTCCCTTGCTGTCCCTCCACTATGTGTGGTGTTGTGCAGTTTGTTTTCGCTCTGTTGGCTGTGGTGGGAGTATGCATCCAACATCCATTGGGGTTGGGCTGCCAGCCGATGGGTCAGTTTAGTGTGCTGCTAGCTCTTTGTCATAGAGTTCTGCTGATCTCCACGTTTTTCCCACCCCCCCCTGAGGCCCTC